ATGAACCCAGACATCAGTGATTTGGCTATTCTATCTATCCATCTTGCTCCGGAATCCTCCTGCCTCTACTTCCCAGTGTAAGGATTACAGACAAGCTTCCATACTAATGCACCGTTTATGTGGGTGCCATTAACCTGACTTCCAATATTCATGTTTGAAGGCCAGACACTATCCATTGAGCCATCTCTCTAGTCTCTGTTAAATAAAGTTCAAAGGACAGATGTTACCACACAGAAATCATTAAAGTACTTAAAATAAAAAAAGAAAAAACAGATGGGGTGTGTCTTACTAGGCTATCTTCCAACTGATAAATCTCCTGCCCCAGCCTCCTTCGTGCTGTATTTACTTACCATACACTGTTATGCCCAGCCATAATTAAATTAACTTAAATTAAATTTAGAAATAAAAATTTTACATTGGAATTTAGAAGTAAAATACTCCTCAAGAGCTTTCTTTTTTGTTTAGTTGACATTTGAGTTTGTAGGATTGTGATATTAAATTCAAGTTTATATTTGCTACAAAGTAGCCTAAAAGTATAAAAGAGGATGTAATTCCCTTTTATTATTTTGTCTTGTCTTATATTATTATTAGAATTCAGTATTGACGTTTACATGCAAAAAATAGATCATTGGGTATTGACACATTTAGTCAGCAACGTAGATTATTCAATGTTAAGTTAACGTACATCTTAGAGATATATTTTATATTGATTATTTTAATTTTAAATAAATATCAATAAATATATCATATAACTAACCATATTTAATTTTTCCTAGCTTTTTAAAAGTATAATTGATAAACATGGTACATAATATACATAACTGGACAATTTGGCACATGTACACATTGCAGACCATTCACCACAACAAGGATTATTTACATGTCTGTCATCTCACACAATTGAAACCTAATCTTTTATCCAGTTTTGACCTTCAGAGCTATTATTTTATCCAACTTTGTGTAAAAATATATCATTAACTATAATCACTACTCTGTATGTTAGGTACCAAGAATTTATTCTTCTTAAAATTGCAAAGTTGTCAATTTATGTGTGGAAACTAAATAGTTGAATCTATGAAAACAGAAAGTCCAAAAGTGATTACTTCAGGCTGAAGACAGGAGGTACGGGGAGATTTTGGTTAAAGAAAATACTTAATTCTAAACTGTACCTGTAGTTACTTCGACTTAATAATGAGCTTTTAGAGCTTCCTGTAGGCTTTCCTCTTTTCCCTTTAATTACAGGGTAGTCTTATAAAAATTTTTTTTCATATAATCAAACTGATCCTTAGTATTAAAAAATAAAAATATAAAAGTTTAGTGAGTCATGTTTATAAAATGCAAATTCGAGTATACTTTTTTTGTGTGTGTGCAGTACACATTTACTCAGTAAACATTTGATGAGTATATTTTGGGTACTAGGGAATCCTGTAATCACTGGGTTTCCAGGGACAAATGGAACTGAAATGATTTTGTATTTAAGGATCTCAAATATAATATGGGAAATGAATGATGCAAAAAATGTAATTAAATATTTTGCTGAGTGTTATTATTAGTAAATTGAAGAGGAGAACAAGGGAGGAGGGTGAAGGACCCCTGCGATGGGCCAGGTTGACATTTGGCTGGAATGGCTTTTAAGCTGAGAACTTGAGGACAAAAGGAATGAGCCATGTGAGGAGCCAGGTGGAAGTTTCTAAGCACTGAATATGTGTTACAGGAAGGCCAAGAAGCAGAGAAGATTCTGGGGGTAGATGGAGGTCATAGGACTGAGAATGAACGGTCCACAGAGTCAGCACCCAAAGACTTACTCCATGACAGAAGTGACATTTTTGTAATAAGATAGCAAAATGCCCCATTTCTACTCTAGAAGGGTGTCCTTTTGCCTACATATATGATTCTCATTCTATTCTGTACAGGACCAGGACAATTTCTACTCCATATATTCTTAGATTTAGCAATTTTAAAAAGAGCTTGATTTAAAATTGATGAGCACATGAAGTAGTTACCTGCTGTTGAGAGTATTATAGTTGCTGGGAGACTCTGTCACACATTAAGGCTGTTACAAGACTAAAGTTTTCTTTTTCTTTTCTCAAAGCAAAGCCCTTAGCCTACTGGGCACTGAGCTGTCAGCCTGCCCCCAACAGTCTGCTGCCCTCCACATTTTCCTCCATTAGGCTCTTGCATGATACCTCTGGTACCCCACACAGGCAACGAGACTGGCCTGCAGTGCAGCGGAGGTTAGCTGTGAATTCAGTCCAACACAGAACCCTAAGCTGACTTTAAAACTAGGAAAGGTTTATTTTTGTTTGTTTGTATGTTTATAACCCAAGGGCATTGTGCTTGAGCTTGAATTGTGTAGATGACAACATACATAGTCAAATAAACAGTTGGATACTCCTGGCTTTTGAAAGAATCCAGGCTGGGAAGTGGCTTAGACTGTGAAGAGCTTGCATTTAGACTCATCAGCACCCCTGTGAAAAGTTGGACATGGCCGTTCACATCTCTAAGCCCAGATCTGAGAATAAATACAGGCAGGTCCCAGGGGCTCCATAGCCCACAGTATAGCACAAATGGCAAAATTCCGCCTCAGTCAGAGACCCTGTCTCAAAAAAAAAAATGAGATGAAGAACAATGGAAGATACTTGAGATTGACTTCTGGACTTTACAGGCCTGGACACATGTATATGTATACACACATACACATGCGCACACAAGCAAATTCTCTATAAACCTCCACACGTAAAAAAAAAAAAAAAAGAATGAAAGCTTATGGGTCCACATAGCTGCAACTAAATGATCTGAATTTAGGTGTATTAACATAGCTTTTGAGCCATTTTCACTTGCTGCTCTTGCAGGCTGTGATTTAACTCTGAGTTTTCAGAAATTTAACTGCCCTTCCGCAACTGTTATTTTTATAAAGGAAGGTGATTGCATATGAGTGGGGTGTGGATGTTTTCTTTTTCTGTCTTCCTGCTGTGTTTTAAAAGGACTGTGCTTAGTCATATTACTTGTTCTTTCAACCATTTTAGTGCATGTGTGTGTGTGTGTGTGTGTGTGTGTGTGTGTGTGTGTGTGTGTGTGTATGTGTGTGTGGTTTTACTTGGGTCTTAGTGTTCATAGTTAATCATAAGTAGAGAATGAGACATTTTTGGACTTTGTCCCTGTAAAGCAGAGGTGGGGTTTGGGAGGTAAGTGAACAAATACATGAGAGAGATTGCAGGAACTGCTGTAGGGAAAATAGAGTTTACTTTGGGAGGAAAACTCTCTGGTTGGCTTTGTACTGGTTCATCAGGGAAGGAGTTTTTTATGAAAGTACCTTAGGGATAATTCTTAAAATTGGCAAGGGAAGAAAGATAGGATGGAGTAGGGCTTTAAGGAATGTCCTCCCCAAAGATATTGTTTATATTTTAAAATGGAAAATGACATTTTCTACTGAGCTCTTATATTCTCTTTCAATGTAAGGCAGGTGGGGCTCCCAACAGACCTCTTGAGTTCCCTAATGACTGTTGGGACTGTGTTGGGACTGAGAAGAAAGAAACTCATTTGCTTGCCTTGTGAGAATGGGGGAAAGGAGGAAGAAAACAATGGATACAGAGAGGCTAGGCTATTCAAGGAGTAAAGAACGCGTGTTGACTGATTTTTGCCTTTCCTTCCAATTGTTAGTGTTGGGAATCTGGGGATCCTTGGATTGTTGGAAGGGAAAAGCCAGATGACTAACTCTGCAGGGCATTGCTATGAAAAGAGAAGAGATAAAACAAGCCAAGGAGCTTTAGGAAGGAGCCCGTAGATGACGGGATCAGATGGAAAAAGGCCGGTAGTCAAAGTGGTTGTATGAGGTTAAGTCTCTGCGTGTTCTTATTAATCATTAATTCATTCAGTGTTTATATGTGAAATTGTTGTACACACTGGTGAACTTCAGTTTTTTTTCCTGTTTGGTTATTAGCACTGGTTGGCTGTCCAGATGCATACATTTGTTAATGATTAATGTGAGAATCTTTTTATATTTTACACCAGTAATAGACCTTTGGCTGGGAAACAGTAAGAAGAAAAAACTCTCCCAGGGCCGGAAAGTTCTTTTTCTATCTTTAACTCATCTGAAAACCACAGGAAGTGATACCAACTCCTTAAATGTGTTTAAAAACTGCAAAGGAGGAGGGAGGGAGAAATGCTTGATGCTGACCTGTTTCACTTTCTGAAGTAAGAAGTTAATTTGGGTATCTATTAAAAACAGATGATATCCCGATGGCATCAGTACAGACCGAAAGTGTGCAGAGGAGAGGGTATTGAAAAATCTTATGGGCTCGAGTGTGTGAGTGTGTTGGGAGAGGGGACCAAAGTAATACAGAAACCAAGTGTGTGCACAAAGCTTCTTCAGCCAGAAAGAGTCTTCTTTAAAGTCTGTCAAATGGGATTATTTTATTTTGTCTTTGATTTTTGTGTCCAAATTTTATTTGCCTTTTATATGATCCTCTTTCAACTGTCTCCCGTTTAAAGAGGTTGTAAATGACTCTCTAATTTAGCAAGGATTTTTCAACATATTTACTTGGAACCAAAAATTTATATGTATAAATTCAATTAACAAGGCCATATTAGCTTAGCAACATAGTATTCGTTCACCAAAGATCAAAGCAAACTAGGATCCACATATATGCTTAATGAGGGTGAAAACATTGTGTTGTATGTTCAGTGAAGGATTATCTTCTTCATGGAATGTGGGTTCAGCGATGGTACATGGACCCACATCTTGTTTAGTGGTGGCACACACTGCTGTGTGTGATAGCCATGTTCACATTATTTTTCAAATGCATGCTTTACATAGCTAGAAAATGGTATTATACACATTTCCCTGTGTACTGTGGGTAGAAAGCTAGACTTGGGCTTTGTTGTAGCCTCTCTTTACCTCTGTTGTCTAACAGAACAATGGAATGTACTCAACATAATGACATTACAAATACATTTCAAATCTGCTTTCTGTTAAAATAACAGTTTTATATGTTTTCCAGAAAACGCATGTTTCAGAAGAGATGGGTGAAATTTGATGGCTTTAGCATTTCTTACTACAACAATGAAAGAGTAAGTATATTTACAGTTTTCAAGGGTTATTTTATACACACTGAGTGCACTTTGGGAAACATAAGTTAATTGTTTAGCATTTTAAAGAACAGAAAATAGATTATCAACACGAAAAGAACTGGAATATGACAAAATCACTCCTTTAATAATTTAACTTTTCATAGACATGTACAATCAATTCTTTGCTCATACATCTAATAGCTATTTATGGATCATCTATAAACTGTAGGTGATGCTATGAGCAATGTAAAGGTGAGTACAAAGTTTCATCCAGTAGGACATCCAGGGAGGTAAACAAATCACATTACAAATAGAAAATTGAGAAGCAAGGAGGGATTGCCTTATTCTTTGAGAGTGAGAAGTGTTTGGGTAAATCCCATTTGCTATGAGTTTGGAAAAAAAAGTAGTTTGTATGTGCAGAAATGAGAGAGAATAGGAATAATTTACAGAAAAAAAATACGCAAGAAGCTCCCATGAGAAAGCATTGGCCATTTCACAAAACATGTAGTGTTTTCTGGTTATTTTGTGAATGAGCTTTGTGAATGGGAGATGTGGGAGATGATGCTAACAGGGTTGGGTAGAGACTACTGAAAATCTTGTCTGTTGGTGAATGTAGCAGAGGGATATTCCTTGGGCAATTGAGCCTTAATGCATGGCAGAGTTCTAGGAATGTCTTCTTAAGCTTTGAGGATGTCTTTCTAAGGAGACATAGGATGAAACATCTGTGGGGACCGTGTTATTATATCTGAAAACAGTAAAAGAAACTTCCTGTGTATGTATTTATATTTGTCAATGTGTGCATATATTTATATGCATGCACAGTTAAAAATAGCAAATTCTGTGTCTTATACAGTTACATGGTACATGATCAACCCCCTGTGTCTTAGCTTGTGTATGGGTTTTGTGCTGAACCTTCTATGCATCAGAAATATGTAAAATGTTCCATCTGTATTGACCGTGTCCATCATTTTTCTTGTTATTCTCTAAATGATACAATAAATAATAGTTTACATAGATTTTCTATATGTAAGATATTATAAGTAACCAGGAGGTGATCAGGAATGCAGGAGGATATGTGGAAGTTATATGCATGTTACCATTTTGGTTAAGAGCTCGAGTGTTTGTGGGTCTTGGTGTCTGAGGAGTTTCTGAAATCAATCCCTCTCAGACACTGTGGGGCAATGTGATCAGCTGTTAAACTTAGAAATTACATGAGTAACATCTGCATCACCCTTTTGACTTTTGTTTCACCATTTTCTAACTGTAAAGGTGAAACTGATAAATATACCATGTTTTAACTTATTAAAATTAGACATTTTTTTTCTCCTAATTATATTTTATGTTTAAAGTTTTAATTTTAAGACAGAACCACATTCTTTTATTTATATACCAATTTAACATTGTTATCTCATTAGAAGTTTATACTGCATAATATTTGTGATATTTTTGGCTTGGGGAGAGGTGTCTCGTACTGCTGCAAGGCAGAGGAGTATGTATACTTCTAGACAGACAATAACCTGGGCTGCATCAAACACTTACAGCTGGGAATAGTAGAAGGCTTCAAGTGGTTTGGTTTTTATAATGACCTAGATAGAGTAACCACTTGGTTTAAACAAACATCCACATGGTTTGCACAGTGGTGGGACAAAGATTTTTCATCATTATTTGCTAATCAGCTATTTCTAGTTTGTTTGCATGTTTGACCATCTTGATGTTTCACCTGTGTCCGTGATGTACACAGGGAATTCAGTGTCCCTAGACCTGAAGATAACTTTTTTGTCATCATTATTTTTCTCTTTTATTATTATATTTTTCATACAATACATGAATCATGTTTGTTTGCTGCTTTCCCAATTCCTCACAGATCCCTTCACATCTCCCTCGCCACCTAACTTTGTGTTCATTCTCTCTTTTTCAAACATAAAATGAACCCAAAAACAGTAAGACAAAAAAAAAAAAGCCAAAATGAAACACAAAAACCCACAAAGAAAATGGTTTAGCTGTTAAAGATTAGACTCATAACCAAAATGACAAAATGATGTCAGAGAAACTACATCTGGGTCTTCTCTGTGGTTTTTATTGAACTACAGAAGAAATGTACTCAGGTGTGAGGAAGACTTCCTTGCCTGGTTTCTTTGGTGGCAGGATTTTCTCTACTCCCATTGAAGAAGGAATTTCTACTTTCTTTCCAAGTGGACGAGTTTCCTCTATATCATCTCAGAGCTCATCACACCTGCAGTGGAGGGAGCCTATTGTCATTTCAGATATTTATGCTACAAAGATCATTATTAAAAGTTTATAGTCATGTGATTTCCTAGAAATCATTTCACCAAGCATCATTCTTTAAAAATACTCCAGGTATATATATCTCCAAACATTTCGTGACCTTGCATCCAGATGATTGATTTCATCTTGCCAAAACCTTTTACCATTTGAGAGTTGTTTCTTAAAAGATTTTACTGGGTCCCCTCTGAAAAGACGTGCACTTACGGATTACAGCTAGTGCTCTGGCTGGCTGTGCAGTTTAGCAGCTGTGTGGATGGTGCCTCCGAGTCATTGAATACCTTGATGTGCCCCTAAGTGTATGGTTGGGCATCAGGAGGTGGTGTGCAGAGGTCCCAATTTTCTGGTTTTCTTCCGTGTTCCTCAGTGTCGCCCAATGATACCTCCAAGGGGACTTCTTCATTTTATTACAGAAACAGTGTCATTCACACAGCCTTGATATCTGATCCCCTGCTAGTAAATCTAACTCACCCTGATTCCCACTCATCTGTGGGAAGAATTGCCCTGTGGTTGTTTCATCGTCTGAAAGTGGCAGATAAATGACAGAGTTGACCTAGATATCTGTGTGGTATAACCTCCAGGGATGCTTTAAAATTTCTTTAAATAACATTTCACACTTTGGAAAACAGGCATTTCGAGCCTACAATCCATTGAGGATTTTTTCTTTTTACTTTGTATTGTCTTTATATTGTTGTTACAAGAAAAAATGTAAAATCAACTCTACAGTGTTGAAAGAACCCACAGTTTTACCCTGAGATCTCACAATGGGTTATAAATGAATAATTAGATAACCTCTGACTTCCTGAAGTTCAAGTGACACAGTAGTCAGTTTGCAGAGTATATTTTGATCACTTCCTTGCTTTCTACATTTCTCTTCCAGAAGTCATTACCTGTTAAACATAATATCATTGTTATTTATAGGCATATAGTTTTTTTTCTCTCTCTCTCTTTTTTTCTAACTCCTCGGTGCTGTTTGGATTTTCTTCATTTGACAGACGGGTTAAAGGTAGCACAGAACAAACTGTTAATTATCTCATTAGGGAGTTTTTTTCCAAAGCTATTATAATTCTTAGTAAACTAAATTTTTGGAGAAGGTCACCTAGGTAACAATGTGTAAATGTTTTTAGATATTTAAAAATTCCCACTGTCTGGCATTAGTCATGACATATGCATAATAGATACACTCATAAGCCGTCCATAAAGATGCTGTGCTTCTTCCACCTTGTAGGTTGCCTGGCAGTGCGAAGATGTTCTCTCTTTCTTCACAGTCTCTTGATTTGACCGCATATTTTTTATTTTAACTTACTTTCATTTACAGAGTTTTCTTTGGTAAACCAATCAAATTATGTATTTCTTTGTAATGACCTTTATTAACATTTGGGTGCATACTTTGGGCAACCTGAGTACCATTTCTCTGTCATATTTTACTCTTCATATATTCTTTCTTTTCTTCTATTCGAACTTCTTTAGCTATTGTTAGCCATTGAAACTACTGTTAGCCATTGAAACCTACATGAGGACCTGCAGGATGACTCACCAGGTAAAGGCAATTGCACGCCAGTCTGAGGACCTGAGTTCAATTCCTGGGGCCCACACAATAGAAGGATAGAACCAACTCCAGCAAGTTTTGCTCTGACCTGCACTTACATGCCCACAAGCATATACATAAATAAAAAAGTAAAAAAAAAAATTAAAAAATTTAAACCACATTTAAATTTCAACCATCTTAGTATTGTGTCCATAAAGCTTTGCTTTATTTTCTCCAGCTGGATGACAGTTGGACTATAAATGTGTCAAGAAGTCTATAAGGAAAACAAATTGAAAGAAGGGAGGCAAATTAGGAGAGGGTGGTAATAAATGAGGCATTATGAATTATGAAGTTGTGTAGTAATATTTAGGTTCAGTAGACGTGATAAAAACAAATTTCAAAAATATTAAAAATGAGCTGTCAGAGTTTGGTATAATTGTGATTGATTGGACATGGGATTCAATCATTCAAAAATATTTCTATAGCAATAACTCTAAGAAAGTTGGTAAGGGAAAGAGATGAATGATCTAACATCTACATGGAAGACATCATTAATCAGATTATCACATTCCATGACACTGTAGATCATATCTAAATTCCGATGTATAATTATTACAAAGTATATATACAAGTTGCTGTTAAATTGGAGTACTTGTACTGATGAGTGTCAGTACTCTAGAAGTGAGTGGAGCTGAGAAACAAGGCCATTCAGAGCCTTAGACAGTTATATACTCTGAGGATTAAGAAAGATCACTTGAGTAAAGTTCTAATGAGTTCAAACTGTATACAACCATAAGGACAAGTCACACATGGAAAAACATGTTTTTCCATAGAAGCATATAAAGAACAGTTTAAACATTTAATTGAATAACATCTACAGGCAATAATGAGCAATCTGAAGTGAACTCACTCCTACCCACTATACCTGAGAGCACAAAAACATTCCAAGAACAATTCTGTGTTCCAAAGAAACTGAGGTCACAAGACTCTCGTCTATTTTCTTGGAGTGTTCTCACAAGCACTCAGAATTCTCTTCAACTGACTCCATTCCTGGACCATGTTCCCACAGTGAGGATCAAGGTTCCAGAGAAAAGTCCCAGCAGGAAGAATTTATTCAGTAGAGTAGAGTGTATTTATGCTGAACTGTGAAGGATTAACTATAAATGCAAAGACCATTGGGCATTTAGAGGTAGGGATGGGAGCATATTGACACTATAGATGTAGGGAGCATTCTTATTTTGTTTGTGGAAAGGATCTACTCGGGTCAAGGACTATTCAATCCTATTTCAGAGAGAAGGACTGGAAAAGTGATATTTTATTAGTTTTGTCTTTTTATTTTATTTTTCATTATATGTATATGAGTGCTTTCCCCTCTACACACACACACACACACACACACACACACACACACACACACACACACACACACACACATATTCATTTGTGTGCACCATGTGCATGCAGTACACATGGAAGCCAAAAAAGGACATTGAGTTCTCTGTAACTGGAGCTGCAGACAGTTAGGAACAACCATTCCGGTGTTTGTTATTGAACCTGGCTCCTCTAGAAGAGTACCCAGTGCTCTTAACCACTGAGCCATCTCTCCAGTGATATCTCAGTGGACAAGTATGGCGTTGAGTATAAACGCTGTGGAATAATCCTCTTGTACACTGTAAAGAGAATCGTCTGTTTACAGATACTTTTTCAGCTATGGATGAGTTAATTTGTAATTTGAGGAACCTAGGCAAAATTAAGCATACTACTGATGACTCAACATATTGGAGTCTGGTTGAGTCAAGGTGAAGATGAGGAAGGGACAGAGGGAGGGAAGGAAGGAAGGAGGGTTGGCAGGTCAAGTGAAAGAGAACAACTTTAGGTTTGTTCACACAAAGGTGGTGGCTGAAATGTGAGACGGGATCTCTCTTCTTAAGGAAGAAGGATAAAAACAAGAAAGAAAAACAAGAAGAAGAAAAAAAGAAACCTCAGTTATTTCGTGAATACTTTTTCCTCTGATATTCTTCCTGTTGAGGTTATCCATTCACTTTCCTAAATCACATGTAAATGGCATGTTCATTGTTGGCTATATGAGAGGATGTAAGAAAGGGAGCATACATGTGTATATATTTGGAATGTTATTAGAGTGTGAATAGGATTTTGACAATTCAGGGGTGAGAGGTTAGAAGAGCGGAGGAGAAATTGTTGTTGGAACCAAAGAAGATGCCAGGTAGATAAGGGGCATGGTGACCATCAGAGGGGGCCCATCTTTCCTGAAGAGCATGGTGCTGCTGACAGCTGTTCCTCTCCTGTCTGTAAGGGCAGAAGACTATTAAGGGTGGGGTGCTCCCTGCATGGAATGGTTTAGCATATTCATCTCCTAAGCCTTTATTTTGGCGATGAGTTTCTGCTCCTAACGAGTTTCTATGGTATGTTACTTTAGACGTTGTGTTTATGTGGCAAAATAGTTGGCATAAATGGGATGAGATTTATTTGGGGCCATGGTTTCAAAGTATTTGGTCCCATTTTTTCTAAGGTAATGCAAAACAACATGGTAGCAGGCATATGTAGCAGAACCTACTTCACAGTGGCCAACAAGCAGAGATCAAGAAAGGACTGAAGGCCTGATACAACCTTTCAAATATCCTAGTCACACACATGTATAGGGCCTAAGTAGGTCCCAGGAAAGCTACTTAACTGTTGGTCTAGATTCTATATGCTCCCAGGAGCTCAGGTCAACTGTCTCTGTGGGTTCCTTCATAATGACTTGACTACCCCCTGGCTCTTACAATCCCTCCTTTTTTTCTTAAGGAAAACTCCCAGAGCTTCACCCAGTGCTTGGCTGTGAATCTCTGCATCTGCTCCCATCAGTTACTGGATAAAAATCTCTACCTGTGTATGACACTTATGTAGCTTGGTCTGTTGGTAAGGCTCCTAGCAGTGAGATCAGGACCTATCCCCATGCTGAATTATCCAGTGCAGCCTTTATGCAGGTGGAGGAGCTCAGTTCTACCTTAACTTGATGTGCCAAGCTTTGTTTAAGCCCATAGGAGACCTGCCCCTTTAAGGAGGAGTGGATGGGGAGGGGGGTAGATTGGAGTTGAAGGGGGGAGGGAACAGGAGGGGAGGAGGGAAGAGAAACTATGGCTGGTATCTAAAGTAAATGAAAAAATATTAACTAACTAAAATAAAATTAAAATTAAAAAAAAAAAACCCTAGTGATGATACCCATGTCCCCCAATTAGGCTGTACTTTTTAAAGTTCCTGCCACCTTCTACAATATTGTTACCAGCGGGGTCCCAAGTGCTTGACACATGACCTTGTAAGAAGACTTTCCTACTCAAACCATCAAATGTAGATACTACTATGGGAGAGAATGGAAGAAAAAGCCATTAAGGACAGCCTGTGGGAAAACGTCTGATATTCAGATGTGGGATGTGTGTGTGTTACAGCCTCATATTTCTTGACAACTCTGCATTCTTTATTATTTACTGGTTTTTTTTCCGGGGGGCATCTATTTCTCATTATCTGGCTTCTGTTATTTTTATTTGATCTGTCTTGTCAGAATTCTGCCTTTCCACTTAGCAATTTGGTGAAAGTTAAGTTTTCTTAAAGTCAGGATCAAACCTCACCATGTTTATGAAATGCTTTAAAAGGAACTGAGGTTCTGCATCTTTTTACTTATGTGTCCTGAAGTTTGAATTCACTTCTGACCTTAAATTGCCTGGTTTTTAAGTGTATAATGAGTCTGAAGTTTCTTTCTCACACAAAACACAAGAAATATTCCACTCTCAATAAATCATTGAGGTCATCTACCAAATGGTTTGGGAGTTCTAAGCAAACTGAAGATTGAGAGAAAGTGGTTAGACTCTTGATGTCCTTGAAAGCAAAATGATAATATGCGTGTGAATGCCGATTGGTAGCAGCAGATGCACCTTTCTTCATTTCTTGTTGTTTTTCAGGGACATAGTCTTACACTGTAGCACAAGGAAGCCTCTAACCTCCCACCTCAGCTTCTCCAATTTGGGGATTAGAGGTACAAATGACCATACCTGTTTTTCTTTTCTTACCCATTATTCATTAGGGAATGGGAAAAAAAGTGACCCAGTGTGAGATCAAGGTTCTCCTCATCAGACCATGGAGAATAAGGTGTATTAATGAATCTGGCAGGCTCCTTTGGCATGCTTGTTCTCTATAATGCAGCAGGATTTCGAGATGCTTCCCTGACAGTTCCTGTTGTGACCAGCAGATGCCTGCAAACACCGTGGAATCCTTGTGAGCAGACCGATTTAGAGACTGTGATTCTGGGCTTAGGAAGTGGAAATTGCTGGCCTCTTAGTGTTATTTTTTTTTATTTGGTGCTCTGCCTTTTAAATCTAGGCGACCAGAAAATTGAAAAGGTCATTTCTCTTAAAAGCTTCTGACACTTCATAGTTTTCTTTTGCTGCATTGAAAATCAGTGTATTTGCTTGTCCCTTTAAAATTTTACATAGAAATCATGAGAGAAAAACAGTTGTGAATCCTGTACCATTCTTACAGGATCTTCAGAAATTCATGTTCATCTTTTTCTCTAACTAATACAGGAGATGTACTCAAAAGGAATAATCCTGCTCACTGCGATATCCACAGTACGGGCTCAAGGAGACAACAAATTTGAAATTGTTACAACACAAAGGACTTTTGTTTTTAGAGTAGAAAAAGAAGGTAAGATTATTTTCCACTACCCGCCCCCTTCTTCTCCTCCCTCCTCTTTCTTCTAAGATCTGACTGTGTTACTCAGTCTGGTACAGAACTCACTATTCAGTCCACAGGACAGGCAGGCCTTGAACTCTGAAACCTCTGGCCTTATTTCCTCAAGCCCCAAGAATTCAAGCATGCACTACCCTACCTGTGTGTAATATAATTTTGTTATTGCTATCAAGATACTCAGAGTCCTTCATTTCTCACAAATCAGGTTAATAAAACGGGTAAAGAAAAATATAAGGCCACTTATAAGTCTATTATTTTCAAATAATTTACATTTTAAAAAGAGTTTTTGAATGTACAGTGGTAAAGCCTAAGTAAATTAACAAGTTGTTCCTTGTGTGGTTACTATTATATATCAAAAACATTTTTTTCAGGAACTATTAAGTATGAGATATGTCTTTAAGCTGTAGCTATAAAGCAGTGTAAAATGGACAAAAATATTCTCTCACAGAGACCACTTTAGTGTGTGGTTTTGATAATGCAAAATAGGCACTTAAATGTTAAAAAACAAAGGTCCTGAATGTAAACAAGTTGTTTTTCGAGAAGCTGACACAAGGAAGTTCTTAGCTAAATGAACTGACACAGTAATCTTTGGGTTAGAGACTTTGTACTGATTAAACTCACTGAGTTATTTTTATGGGAATCATCTACTGTGGGTCTCCTGATGCAAGGGTGACAGGTAGGGCAGAGAGATGGCTCAGCAGAGAATGATGCATGCTGCTGGGAAAGATAACTCGAGGTTATCCCTGGGAACCATATTGTGGAAGGAGAGAATCGATTCTTGCACGTTGTCTGCAGACTTCCAACACACAAGACACAGGTGCACCTCCACTCCTAAGTGCCTGTGTTTGTGAGCATGCACTCTTATGTGTGTACTAGCATGCAAACACACACACACACACACAGAAAGAGAGAGAGAGAGAGAGAGAGAGAGAGAGAGAGAGAGAGAGAGAGAGAGAGAGAGAGAGAGAGAGAGACATAAATGTGAACACAAAGGAGAAATGTGATGTACTGTTTGGATTAGGCTAAAAGTGTACAGGAGAGTATTCTCTGAATTTGATAGTACAGGAGGAAGAGGTAATAGGAAATGCAAGTTCTGTATTGTGCATTTGATTCATTCTCAGGATATGTCATGGCGATAATCTTCTCTAGTTTCAAATAATACAGGTAAGGCCAGCTACTTGATTAAATGTTAAGAGAATGACCTTACTTTAGGATCTATTTGGGGTAGATTTATAATTGACCCAATTTTTAACAAAGTGTCATCTTAGTGTGCCCAATAATAATTGCAAAGGGACTTACTGAATACTGTGTATATACCAGACATTTTGCCAAATTCAGCATCATAACAACCTTTTAAGGCAGTTTACATGATTGTTGTCCTACTTTATACACAAGAGCATCTAGCTGTAGATAGAAACTACTGTAATGTTAAGCATTGTGTAGTACCATTGCTCTTTAAACTACTCGGCTCCCAGAACATGGGTTAGCCTATAGCACAAAGAAACTGTTTAATAAATATGTATTTCTAGAACGCTCTCACTATTACTGAAGGTAATCAGCAGTGAGTGTACCCAGCTCCCTGTCAGGGAACAATGTGTTCCAGACTTTGATTACTGATGATTTATGAAATCAAACTAGAAGCTTGTGTCGCTGCTGAAAACAAAAACACCACACCAAGCCTTCCCAAAGAGCATAACAAATACCAAAGAGCAGTGCTTAGAGGGCATGTTATACTGTGTAACCAAGCAATGTAGATGTTCCACATGGCTGATAGAGAAAACATTTCATATTTCTATTGCTATATTTTATTTTAATTTTTAAATACATTTTAAACTAAAAGTTTATCACAATACTTTCATTCTGTTTCCTCTGTCCTTCTCACCCTCCAACCCCTTTCACATTCTCCCCTCAAGCTCAAGATAGTTTCCTTTTCCCCAAATATTATTGTTACACACACACACATACACACACACACACACACACACACATGCACAAACACACAAATTCAGTAATTTATAAATACAACCTGCTGAATTTTTATTGTTTGTGTGTATATGGTTTCAGGGATAACAACTTTCTATTGGATAACCAATTAGAGTGCTGATCCCTGGAAGAGGCTAATATTCTCTTTCATATCAATCATCCGTTGCCTGTAGTTCCTGTCCAGTGGTATGGACCTGTGAGAATTTTCTCCCTTCCATGTAATATGTCTGTTGGTATTGCTATTGTTCAGATATTGTTTATGCAGACAATTCTAGGAGAGAGTGTCAGAGCAACAGATGTCCTGGTATTATGGCTCTTCAAAATCTTCCCTACCCCCTCTTCCACCATGTTACTGGAGCCATAGACACAGGAGCTGTTATGTAGATGTATCCATTATGGCTGGGTTCTTCATCTTCCATTGATCTCTCTGGATTGTTTCTAGCTGAGGTTTTTTTGTGTGTGTGATGGTCTCCATTTACTATAAAGAGAAACTGCTTTGATGAAGGGTGGTAACTACACTTATGGGTGGATATAAGGATAAAATTTAGAGTGTAGTAAGAATTATCTTAAGACCCATGACCTCATTAGCACTGGAAAACTGGCTACCTTTCTAGTACCAAGCATTAGTCCCTCCTGTTGAGCTGATCTTAAGTCTGATTCGATGGCTCTTGGTTACCATCAACATATGACTGCCATTTGCTATATATACCATTATGGATATCTTACCACTTTTTGTCATTGTTGTGGTTCATAGATGTCACAGCTGAGTAGGGATTATTAATTGCTTCCCTCCTTTGGCAGTCTGCATAGTATTTTATGTTACTATGGAAACTATACTGCAGGACAATGACTCCCCAAACAGTATAGACTATGGCTGTTAACCCTAGTTCACTCTCAGAGGTTGAGGGTAAGCTCAGGTTGCTGAATAAACTGTGCACTTAGGACACAGGACTCAGATTATTTGAGTTGACTTGGTAATTACAAGAAAACAACACCAGAACAGAGATAATTAACCTGGCCTACAGCCTAAATCTGACCACAGAAATCTTGGTGGCACACAGTCATTCTCATTCATTTATACGTCAGCCCAAGGTGCTTGCTAGCCTCTACTGCGGAGTGTTTGTAGAGTATTGTGTGTAAATAGCCACTTCTGCAAATCATAACTAAAATACCATTACAGTTTGGCATTTTTCACATTCCCGCTATCTAATGTTTTGGTTGTTCTGGGCGTCATAAAAAAAAAATATTGCCCTTTTCTTAAATAAATGTGGATCATATTAAAATAGTATCGCTTTGAAAATTGTCTTCCTTAGGGAGAAATTTCATATTGACTCTTCTTGTTCTGGGGTAGAAACACTGGCATGGGTGTGTAGTTCATGGCATTATGGTCTCCAGCCATAGCTATGAGTCAGAAATTTACAGACAGGTGATGCTATGGGGTCCTGCTTCTCAGGGTTAGCACAGAGCTTCACGATTCTGATGGGGGCGTTCCCTGTCCAACACTGTTCTCAGAACCTGGTTGTCAATTGTAGGTGCTATGTTTCTGTTAATTGGAGCACATTGTAGGCCATGGGAAACAGACTAGTCAGTCACTCAATTCTAGGCACTAGAGAGTTCTCCAAGGTAGTTCTGAGTCGGATACCTAAAATGGTCTTAAATTCAAAGCAGCTTATTAGACTTACCATATGAAATATACCCCAGTTGCTTAGGGGAGTTACAACATGGTCCGAAGCAAATTATGAGATGTCTTCTATGCTGTGGGATGTTCTGTATGGCAAATGTGTTGCTGATTAGTCATTAAATAAAACACTGATTGGCCATTGGCTAGGCAGGAAGTGTAGGTGGGACAAGGAGGAGAATAAAGCTGGGAAGTGGAAGGCTGAGTCAGAGAGATACTGCCAGCCGCCAAGATGAGAAACAGCATGTGAAGATGCCGGTAAGCCACAAACCATGTGGCAAGGTATAGATTAATGGAAATGGATTAATTTAAGCTGTAAGAACAGTTAGCAAGAAGCCTGCCACGGCCATACAGTTTGTAACCAATATAAGTCTCTGTGTTTACTTGGTCGGGTCTGAGGGGTTGTGGGACTGGCAGGTGAGAGAGTTTGTCCTGACTGTGGGCCAGGCAGGAAAACTCAAGCTACACTTCTAACTCTTCAGTTTTCACCCTCCTCATTCTCATTCATGGTGACTGTCTGCTTCATTGATTGCTTCATAGTGTTACTGAAATCTCTTAAAGATGTTTTAGGACCATGCTATAATTCCAAATTCCCTTTAAAAAATATTGTACTACAAATAATGTCTTTTGTAAACATTAAACAAAGGAGTACATAAATATGTATCTACTTTTCACCAGAGCTATGGTGAGACTTTCCAATAATATTAATATTATACTGTAGATGAACAGTCTTATTAAATAAGAAACACAGAGCCAATTGTAGAGTTAAAAGCCCAAGAGGTCAGAGCAGTAGCTGAGAGCTGAGTTTACCTTTCACTGCCACTGCTGTCCTTCCTCTCAGCAAGAGCTCTACTTCCTGTGTATCTGTCTTTTTATAGACTTTCTGTTCTACCTTCTCATTGGTTGTAAACCCAACCACATGACCTCCTCGTCACTGCCCATCTATACAGACCTCCAGGTCTTCTATGGTTGGTATTGAGATTAAAGGCATGTATCTCCATGCTGGTGGTATCCTTGAACACATAGAGCTCTGCCTGTCATGTGGTTGGGATAAAGGGTGCGTGCTACCACTGCCAGACTTCTGCTATGGCTTGCTATCAGTTCTGATCCTCAGGCAACTTTATTTATTAACATAAAAATAAAATTACATTTCAGTACAAATAAAATATCACCATATTATACTACTGGGGTTGAGGAAATAGTTCAGTGGTAAAATGCTTGCTGTGCAAGGGTGAGAGCCTGAGTTCTACCCCGAGTAGAGGCATATGTTTGTAATTCCAGTGCTGCTACAGCA